ATGTAAAATGGCAAAACTAAACTGTGCAACAAAAAAGTATTGTCAACATATTCTCACACAAGAACTGAAAATCTTTTTCTAACTAATATTTCTTGAGGAAGGCTTACCATGTTAGACAAATTGTCTTATCTATTAATAAGCTTTGAAAATTCAAGTTGCACAACATTTAAATTCCTCATTTCCTTTCAGCTTGTGGCTACCATAACAGCTCACTCAATTCTTCACTGCCCTTATGCTTTAACTGATTGTGTTCTTTGATTTTCTTACTCTGGTGTGTAGATTCCTTTTTAACTACAGATCCTAAAAGCGACACTAGCTGCTTTTTGTTCTTTGGAAGCTTTCCCCCCCTCTCTTCAGGATAATTATATTCTGTTGTGCCTTTTATTATCGTGTCTTTAAGGATCTCCTAACCTTCTACACTTTCGGGCTTTATTTAATAGTGAGCTCCCGCCTCAACCCTCCACACTAAACCATGCTCATTAGGTTTCTTAATCCTCCATAATTTGCTTTCATGAAATCTTATACCTTTGAGTTGCTGTGTTCTATGAGCCCATTTCCTTAGTACAGCTATTCCAAGAAGCCCAGAATCAACAAGCACTAAACATAAGCTTATTCACTTTCTTGGCCAACATGACTCGAAAGGAAAAAAAAAAAATCTTTGTTTTGAATGTTTATGGACCATGAAACGATACCATTTAACTTGGTATTTCATTTTCTCACCCAAACATTGCCTGAGATGGTGAAGACTACAAAATTAGCCCACAGACAGTCCTTAACATTGTTATTAACTTAGGAACATCAGGTTCTTCTTAGAACAAAAATAACAATATCGTAATCTATATTAGTGATCAGTAAATTCTAGCTATAGCTTTGCCTTCTCAGAATTCGGAAGAAGAGAAAAAAGTATTTTTCCACTTATTCTACAAAGTTCTGTTTTTTCAAGTGGTGGCAGTTTGTTTTGGGGGGAGGAGTTACTAGTGATTGAACCCAGAGGTGCTTAACCACTGAACTACATCCTCAGCCCTTTTTATATTTTTTATTTTTGAGACAGGGTCTTGCTAAGTTGTTTAGGGCCTCATTAAGTTGTGAAGCTGGCTTTGAACTTGGGATCTTCCTGCCTCAGCTTCCCAAACTGCTGGGATTACAGGCATGTGCCACCATGTCTAGCACTCAAATGGGTTGTTTGCAAAAGACGTGTGCATGTTCTTGACCATAGAGCTAGCTAACTCTGGTCTTTTTTCAGCAGCTCATCCTGTTTTCTCTTCCATTCTTCTCTTTACTAACACCTTGGTTAATAGGGTTTGTTAAAAAGAGCCAAGACAGCACATATTTTCACTTTTTATTTTTAACTTCCTAGCAACCTTGGTTTAAAAAATAATCTTGGTAGTGGACTGAAAGAGTTAATGAAGTTTCCAAAGGTGCCTAGCTTACTCCAGCAAAGTTTACACTTCAACCCTGTGCATGTTAACTTGTGATCCTCCCCATCCAGATGATAGAAAGCAAAAGCCAGTAAGTTCTTTATTTAATTGGTTTGCATCTACACACTGACCTCCAGGGCTCTGTTTATATAGCCTATCATGCAATATGCTCCACAGTTCTCTGCTTCTTTCAAAAGCATGTTTCTCCTGAGATTTGATATATGGCTTTCATGTTTAATCACTACATTAAACTCAATGCTCTGCTTCCTCCAGCATCAACTAACTTCCCTTCTTGGGAGGTGGGGAGAAGAGCACAGCTTCTTGCTACTTTTGAACATAAAAGGAAGTCTGTTTTACTCTATTAGTAAAATCACCAGTTCCACATGATCTAGGCAAGCAACGTTATTATTACATCAACTAGGAACTGGTGTTAAAATGGAAACCTTAAAAAAAAATTGTGGGTTTGCTATTCTCAACTGGCAAAACCAAAACCTTAGATGATCCAGTTATAAACCAACAGAAAAGGTTTTTAATCAGCATGTAACTCAATATATAGAGATCACAGCTATACAGCAACTAAAGTTTTAGCCAAACTAATTGTGAGAATAGAACATTCCTGAGATTCTCAGATCAGAATTAAATCAGTGCCTCTGCCTTGTGGTGAAAGGTTTTCTTAACAACACAATGCCCCATAAAAAGAATTTCCAAAGTTTCCTTAACTAAATGCTATGATTCTTTTCATAATAATTTGTATGTGATCCATATTTCTAAGATAGATAACCCCTGAAATTAATTGACACTTTTCAATAAGTCAAGACAATCTATAATTTCCAGGCTTTTTAAAAAATCATGTGAAATATATGTATTTTTCTTTAAAATATTCTGAACAAAACTAGGGGAAACAAATGTAGTCAATTATTAATAAGTAAAATTTAGATGCTGGTTCTTTGGATGCTCATAATGTTATACCTCTATTTTCAAATGTGGTTGAAATTTTTCACTATAAAAATTTTTAACTTAAAAAATACCAGGAGGTTGTTTGTGAACTTGCTTTTATAAAACAAGTTGTTACAATTCTGATAGAAATTTTATATCATTTTCTATGTTGATCATTTGATACATATTAAACTGAAAATTTGTTTTTACCTGTGCAGGCAATGAAAACTTTCTTTCCTCCTGAATCTCTTTCCATACCCTGAAACTCCTTTGTACAAACTACAAATGTTGTGCACTAGGCTCTGCATAAATTGGATACTTTCCTTTAAAATATATATTTCTCTGTGTGTGTGTATGCACACATATATGTATACACATATTTTATATGTGTATATATAAATACATGAAATTTGACTTTGAAATCCTTTCTTTTATGGCTAGTCACTGACCAGAGTATTTATTTTTTAAGGTTTCTTTTCTTAGAAAGATTGACATCATTCTTCATTTAGAAATCTTGCTTTGTCACAGCTGTATACAACATTAAACAGAGCCAGTTTACTTTCTTCTGTATTCAATGAACAATAGAAAATCTGAACCTATTAAAGTCATACATTTAATTGTTCCAATATGCTACCTTATTTCTAACCAAAATTTGCATGAGACAAAATGCCAAAGAACAAACTTCTCGCTTCCTTTGTCATGATTTCTCATTCACTATCCAGCTAAAAGAGCTTTAAGAAAAATAATTACCTATTTCTTAATTTGAAACCATCTGAATTTCCTCTATATTTAAACTCAAAATTAAAAGAATAAATAAACTTTTAATCAGTATTCCCCATAAGACTTTAAGAGTGCAGAACTTTGTAGTTCTCAAAGACATGCAGATGTTGTCCATGTAGACAGTAAAACAAAAAAATTAGGACTTGAAAAAAAACAAGACTCATGGACAAAATCTTTGGTTACTGTGAGTGAAAGATATGTGCACGTACAGATGTTATAACTATTTCCATGATAAATACTAACCTTCAGTACAAGAAGTTAGCAGCACACTTTAATTTGGATTTGAAAATTTAACATAAATTATCTGATTTTGACAATAGCTGCCTAATATTTCAGTTTTGTACACCATTTCCAGGTTTACCTTTGAAATGAACCTTGTGGACTTTTCCTTTTTAAAAGCTATATTCCAGATTCTGTGCCTTAAAACCAGTTTCTGGTTTGCTGTTTAGGAAAATTAAATCAGATCATAAGAAAGTAAGTTCTTAAATATTTTGTAACTGACTGGCAGAGATTCTTAAAAAGACATAATTTTTATGTAAAAACACATTCTCCATAAATTTTTTTCATTTTATTTACTTTTCAATTGTATTTATAAATTGTAAGTATTAACAAAATGAAAAAGACTTTTCACCATATTCTGAGTCACCTTCAGTTCAATAAAAGTCAAATAGCTGGTACAATGGCACCACATCTTCAGTCTCCAGATAGTTAATACTGTTTACCAAAACTGTTCATGTTACACTATCACTGTCATCTGTAATTCAGAAGACCTGGGACACACAGAATAAGAGGATTCCTGGAATCAAGATTCTCAACTTAGGTGAATTTGTTAATTTTAATGTATAAACTTCATAAAAAAAAAGAGTCTCACCTAATTGAGGAAAGTCATAAAGCAATACAATAAAAGATGATGCTTATAAAGAAGAAAAGCATGTTAGCTCCTTAATACCACTATCAAAAAGTATTTGTAGCACTTGGTTCCTTTGTGATATTAATAGGCAAAAATATTTTTTAAGTTAAAACACAGTGGAACTCACACCAGAGTAAGAATGTTACTTTTAAACTCAACACACTATATATTTTTCTGCAAATTATTTTCTCCTGGAATCAAAAACCAATGTTTATGTATTAATAGTTTATTAAAAGACATTAATTCTTGTAAAACTGAACATGAAACAATTTTTTATTTATAATTAAAGTAAATATCATCAAGGACTCTGAAGCAATAAATCTCAAAAGCAACAATAAGGACATAGTCAAACCTGAGGATTACATGGCTACATCATGCTTTACAAAAAGAAACCATAGAATGAAGCTGATATGCCAGTTTGTGAGAATATAAATTTTGTCTTAATAGATATAAAACAACTGTTTAAGGTGATTTTCATTTTCCATAACCCACAATAAAACATTTTTTTAAAAACAAATTCATAGACAAATTCCATTTCTATTGGCTGAAACTCATCATACTTTGCTGGATTAAATGCATCCATCACCCACATTTGCTGACAAATCACTTGTAGACAATCTTCAAATTATTCAAGATGCTTTTTCCATGGAGAAAATAATATTCTATTTTCAGCAAAAAGTATGTACGACTACGACCCCCCTCCTCTGCTTTTAAACTGAAACTCTGCAGATATAGAACACTTAATGCTTATTGCAGAACTATGAAGAATCCCAAAGTGAACATCTCAAATTATGATTTGAAGCAGCCAATAGCTCTGCTTTGAGGTGGGGCTCATGTTTTGAAAAGAGACTGCCCAGTCTGTTTAAAATCAAAATGGTTCTTGATCTGATGAATTACTCCTCAGAGAATAATGTAAATAAAATATAGCCAGAATAACGTTATTAATGTAAACATACCTGAACCGGAGTCAAATTTGGTTTCTGACCTGCAAAGTGAAAAAAATTTTAGAATATAAAAATAGTTTGTAAAATAACAATAGTTATTTCATGGGAGGGGGGTGTAATAGTTATAGATTTCTGTATGTTGACCAAGAAGTAAAATGTAAATATAAAATTTATATTTTTAAAATGTAAATACACAATTTACATTTCTAAAATGTAAACATATATTTATTTTAACCATTTTCAGTGCATGCATTAACCTAGGTCCCCTAAAAATGCACAAATCAATACAGATAGCACAGTATGAAAAATGATACCAACATTTTAGTTTCTTTTTTTTTAAAGAAACAGGATAAATTGTGTTTTTTAAAAAGCACCCAACCTTTCAGATTAACTTGCTTCAGTAATATAATAAAGTAATAAAAACACGGATTTATAATTATTCTTTTTACTTCATTATTCAAGATTTTCAACTATTAATACCAAATAATTTCACTCAGTTCTTAGCACATAGCAAATGAACCTAGTAACCCCATACATTTAATAAGGAGAAAAAAAAACTGAGCCCTTGTGGGAACATTATGTTTCAGATATAGGTTAATACTGGTTGTAAATTCAGAAGCCTTTGAAGCTCTCTGATCGGCTGTGGGAAAACTTCTGTTGGGTAATTACTCTCAAGATGCTGCTGATGTGCTGTCAAGCAGAATTAACCCTATGACTAGGCCTATCTACACAGGCTACTATAAGACAGCATTGTCTATATCTAGCTCTCAAACCAATTAGTGGGCATGCTCCAGTCGATTTATATCACACATTAACAATCAATAGTATATATGTTCACAGCTGCCATAGCAATATACAAGAAGCAAGCAGCAGGAGTCCTGTTAAAGGATGTTACATTGACAGAGAAGATTTTTTTTTCCTAGGGAAATGTAGTTAACTAACTGGGAAAGGAGATTTCTTTGAAATTATGCCAGAGTACCAAAGCACTTTTGGAAGCAGTGGCTTTCTTCACCTAAATTAGTTTCAAGAAGTCATCAAAGACGGGGAGGGAAGATAAGCAAGAGGCTTCTTTCATCATAAAAATTCATTTTCTCAAGTACTCCCAAATAGTTTCACCTGATACTTAAACATATTCAGTATGTGTATATATAGATAGATAGATAGATAGATAGATAGATAGATAGATAGATAGATAGATGATAGACAGACTTGCATAGCGCGCGCACACGCGCGCACACACACACACACACACACACACACACACACACACACACACACACACACACACCCCTGCACCCATGGTTTTCAACCACTATAATCCAGGTCCACTTCTTCCAAGTCCAATCCTCATCTCAGTTCCTCTCTCTTCCAGGTCCCTTTCTCTTTGCAGATGCAACCCCATCCTCTCTGATTCTGGAAAGCTTTACCTCAAGCCTACCACCATAATTTCACTAAGGCTGATGGCACTCTAATTGCTCTTACCACACATTATCTAGCTGGCTTCCTTATCTAGGTCCCCCACTAGACTACAACCTTGGCTTATTAACCTCTGTAGGCAGGACATCTAAACAGTGCCTGATTCATGTGTTTAGATGTCTGTTAAGAAAACTTTTGCAAGTATAATATACATCCCTTGTCCTCCTTTCCTATATAAAACCAGAGGATTCCTTTCTTCTGAGGTTCTCTTCATCTATGTGCTAAAATGCACTCTTCTATCTGCCTTGAAGCCAAGCTGTATGAATTATTATTCCTTCTCTCTGTCATTCTCAAATATCTGGCCCTCTACAGCTTTCTCTTTCCTTCAGCATATAAGTACTCCAGAAAATTTTTTTTAAAGTCTTCCTTTAAATCTTTTTGTTTTGTTATCCCTCGTGTCCTCTGGCTTTACAATCAAGTTTACTGTAAAGCCAAGTTTACCAGCTTCACAGCTATATCCTATGTCATCTGTCTTCCTTCTCTGACTTCCCAACATTGTCACTCCTCCAGCAACTACAATTGTCCCTTGCTAAGGCTTATCCATGACTTCCTTACTTAAAATGCAGAAGCCTTTTTATAGTCCCTATTCTAGGAATCTCTTGCTCCTCGGACATGCAGGTACTTCTTTCCAGTGTGCATTTGGTAGCATCTTGCCTGCTCCCCGAACCTCTCAACCACTGTGCTTCTCCCTCAGTTTATTCCATGGCATGGGGCTTGGCATGGAATTCCCCAGACTGTGTGGCACTGACACTGCATTCCGTGAGGTGCAGAATGGGTCTCATGTATTTTCATATTCCAACACTTAGCACAGCATGAGAGTTCATGAAAATTTGTAGTAAGAATTAATCCATGAACAAATAAATCTATACATTGACAGAAAGCCAAAAGCAAAATATAATGACAAAATCTACAAAATAGCTATTTTGAGATATGAAAACTCATGTCAGAAAACTTTTATTTTTCAAGCCATCTTATCTTCTTCAGGAATTGGTAGTCAAAATAATATGAGGAAGTCAATATGATCAAGTAATACAGACAGGAACAAATAAACAGCAAGGGCAAAAAAGAATACACAATCACATGGAATGCACAAGAAAGGCAAAGAAAGATGTTCATTCATTTATTCGAAATCCATTTCTTATGTGCTTATTTTCAGTGACGTACTATGCTAGATGGTAGAGATAAAAAGGCAAAAAATATTGAATAAGATACATAAATATAGTTGTCTCTCCAAAAGGCACCCACTTTACTCCTTGACTACATATTCACATCTAAGCTTAAAACTATACAACTGTTTTGTTGTTTTGGTTTTGATAATCACCAAAAGATGGTGATAATAGGACAGACCCTTATTGTTTTCTATCATCCATTATCCCCTTTTTAAATTTAGAAATAGAATATCTGAGTTTTAAATGGTCACATGGCTGCCTAGGTAGGAGTTTTTCCACACTACTTCCCACCTCTCTTGTGGCTAGTTTTGACCATGTGACCTAATTACATTGCACCAGCCTACCCACCTTAAAGGTTCCAGCACATGAACACTGACACACTAGAGACCAAGGTTCCGGCATATGAACCTTTGGGGGATACCCTCAAACCATACCCAAACCATAGCAAGACTTAAACTGAAGTTTCCAAATATTTAAACTTGGAAAAGAAGGTTTCATGAATTTTAAACCAGAATTCAAGTATAATTCTTTTATTCATTCTTATACTTTTTAAATAATAAAAATATTTAATAAAATATTCATTTGATAATAGTTACAGATTCTCAAAAGAGGGAAGTTTTAGTCATTTAGTCATTTTAGATTTATATATTCCTGGGTAAATTTATAAAACTACTGTTTTCTACTTCAGAGAACAGCCCATTATCTATGAAAGTTCTATGTGTATTGCCATTATCTATGAAAGTTCTATGTGTATTGAAGTAAAAATGTTTATTTTTACTTACTTATTTTATTGTCTCTCTTGGGGAACACAAAGTCTCAGAGAACATTGTTATTTGCTTAATGTTCAATTGTTTCAAAAAATATAAAATGGGAATAGCATAAGTATGAACTATAGATTAATAGAATTAATGTTTCAAAAGTTTCAGACAAGTAAAAAAGTGAGCTTGCTATTCTGTTTTTAATTGATTTCAATTAACGATTCTAGCTGCAGAAAATTATTAGAGACAAGAAGCAGGAGTGACAGATTTACTTTGCCTATAAATTCATTATACACAGCAACTCAATGGCAAATTTTTCTAGGACAATCCCAGTCAAATAATCTATTCAACTGTCCCCTTCAAACATGGAAATTTTTTGAAAATTCCAATATTTCAGGATCCTACTTGTAAGTCTAAGAATTTCTTCCTACCCCTAGAAGTAATTCAAAGACCTTCACAGGGCCAGAGACTAGTAATAACAGCAGTGAATATTTATGTGCCTTTTTAAAGTTACATAAACACAATACGCTTCCCCTGCCTGGAATGCTCCCATCCTCCCTGCCTAGCATACCTTAACCCCTTTGCTACCTCACTTCTGAAAATTTTTCTACAGATTAGCTTAATCATCTTTGAAAGAGTGGCCAGTCTAGGTTAAATATCTTCTTTCAAAGCACTAGTCACTCCCTCCTTGTGATTCTACATTTGTTCATATGGTTATCTGATCATACTAAAAGAGTTTAATAATAATATTTAGATATTATTAGTTACCTACCTAATATCCATTCTAGTTTCCTCAATAACATGATACCAATTTTTGAAGGGCACTAAAAATATAACTATCCCAGAGATGAATCATAATTGGGCTAAGCCAATCATTAAATCCTTTTTATGTCAGTGACTGGATCCAGGATAAGCACTTAACCCCAATTCTGAGCGGTGAGCAGTACTGAGAAGGCCTCTGCTGGTAGTTCTTAGAAAAGTCATTCTTTATGGAAAAGAGAGGGGTGACTTAGGGAGAAGGCCCTTCTTCTACTCTCTCCCTCTTCTCAGCCATTGAGGTTACCATGTAAGAATACATAAACAATCTTACAGCCCTGAGTAATGTCGCCCTAGAACCAGGACATCATTCCAATTCCAGATCAGTCTTTTTCTGGAGCTCTTACTAACAGTAAGCTCTAGCATTGTCCAGCCACTGTTACTCGGACATTTTTGTCCTTTTAATCCAAAGTACTCTAATAGATATTCATATCATAGCACTAAATTATGTGCTTATTTACTGTGCTTAAAACTTAGGCCACAATTTTATATTTTGATAATAACAATGCTCTAGGTATAAAAGACAAAAACTACACACAACAGTAAATTTAATGTTTAAAGACACATTAACTACAACTAAAAACTAAAAAAAATAAAAATCAAACATGTCCATCAACTACATAATTTTTTAAAACCCAAAAGCATAAATCAGAAAACCCCAAAAATTTAGAAATTAAGATAATCGTGAGCAAAAGAGAAGCCAGAACTCAGCCAAGCCACTTTGAAAACATGATACAATTACAACTTCTATGATGAATCATGTGGTTTAACAAAATATTGCTTTATATGTCTTTTAACTTTCATGTGAAAATCAAATTTATG